ATGGATAGGATGATGGGGAGAAATGGTTTTTCCTCTTTCCTGATGGTAGTAATATCTAAAATACCATGTAGTTACATCAGTAGATAAACTCTGCACATCCTGTGGAGTTTTACAAAACTTCTCATTGATTCCGGAGGCCTTGAAGGCTGTATTTCTCTTAATCATTACTCCACTGTGTGACTCTTTCTCAGCAGCACCTAAGAGGAGGCCTAGTAAGGAAGAAACTGAGTTGAAAGAGAAGATGAGGGCGTTGGCTCAGTTCATGACAGGCAAGGAGCAAGACGAGTTCTTTGAGAATCTACATGGTAAGTCACGAGACTGAAGAATCAGATGTTGCCTGTGGATGCAGCTCCAGATGCCCTGTAGTGACTCGTTTGATGTATTGTGACATGAACATGTGACTTTTTGGCCCTGACCCCGAGAGTCTAAGTGTAAATGGCATTGAATCTTGTTGGCTTTATGGTTTCATGAAAAGAGGCCCATTCCTGCACCATTCCATGCGGCAAAAGCAGATGGGATTTCACAATGCCAAGGGCGATGAATTTCCCCGCGTGATCACTGTCACATCGTGTGAAAATCTGCATTGCTTTGATATCCTGGTGGATTGAGAACTGGCCTCAACAGTTTGTGTCACTTGAATTTGTGTTTATGTCGATTTCAGAGGAAAAAGAAATTAGGGCGAGAATTAAAGAGCTGATCAAGTACAGAAGAAATGGCATCACGAAATTAGAGGGTAAGGATGTCAACGGCGTTCAATTTTTTGCTGGGTTATGTTTTTTTTAGCAGTTTGTTGTTTTCAAATACTTCAATATTTTCTGTCCAGTGTGTGGTACATGTCTCTCTTTGATCTACCCTGACTAGACACAGTGTTTCTGTATCACATTATTCTGGGGGAGGAATGGGGGAGTCTTTCCCATAAAGTGACACCAAGTGCCCAGGAACTTTGATATGGTGGGCGGCAATGTCACTGGTGAGACCAGAATGTTCCAGAGTTGATAGTTGAAGGGGCTACGCTTAAACTTACGCCGTAACAGAAGCAATTTTTGTTTTAAGTTGGAGAGTGTAGATCGCACAGTACACTTTTTGTATGTAACATATGGATGTGAATTGAAGCAGGTGCATGGATATTGCCATGAAATTCAAGATTTATTGGTGGGAAACCTTTAGAAAGTGCAAAAAAAGAGAGAGTCATTTTGAGAAACGTCTTTGCCCATTTTTGTTTCCGAATTATTATTTTGCGACCCCTGAGACCTATACATGCATAGCCTGTTGAGTATGAATCTGTCCTTGTTCATTTATAAAATGTTTTTCACAATGGTTTTTTTCCTTTCTCCAGTCACCAATTTTTTAATACAACTTGGTTGAACCTTTTTGCTCTAGCCTTCCTACATCTTACAAAACTTCGATTGGAGATCTGTGGGTCTTTGCAGTACATGTAATTAGGAATGCAGAGCCCAGGCAGTGGAGTGCGCCACTGGATTCCTGCCTGGTGGTTGGTTTATTGGAGGACTGAGGATTGGACAGTTCTTTGCAAGAAAAAATGAACATTACGTCAGGGGTTCAGGACTGTCTGGCGCCCTTTTTTGTTTGCAGAAATCTCCGAGTACGAGGAAGCCAAGTGCAAGAGGGACAGGCGGAAGGAAGGAAAGAAGAAGATTGTGGACAAGAGCAAACGAAGTGGGGTCATATCTGCCAAGAAGACTGAGTGAGTACATTATTCAGTGCAATCATCTGTACCCGTATCGATATTTGGATATGTTTCACAAGCGTAGAGTGAAGTGTATCTGGATTCGCTTGCCTCACAAGATGAGACTCACATTATAAACTTAAAGACCAAGGTAAACTTGTAAAAGTGCAATTTGGGCATCAAAATTCTGTTAGGGAAGAGTTTTTCAAGGATGTCATGTTTGGAATCACATTTTGTACACATAAATTGAGAAAAATTTCATCCCAAAAGGAGAAATGGTTAATAGGCATTTTATGTAAAAAAATATGTCAAGAATGCTGGACAGCTTTTGTTGAAAATGCTTCCAAATTGAAAGCCAAATTCAGGGTTGGTTTCTTCAAGTAAAAGTGTTTAAATCGGGAAATGAAAACCTTTTTATTTCAAGAATAAGTGTGTCAAATGACACAAAACCTTAAAATAACCATATCGACTGTTTTTCGGCAATGAATGGCCACCTTTTTAAAATATCCTGAATATTACCTTTCTGAAGCATAAATGCTTAACTTCCGTCTTTACAATTTTTATTTTTTCTGAATTGCCGTGTTGATATTCCACATCAAAAATCAATACATACATATTGCTACTGAATACCAAAGCTGAATCAAGCACCTGTCAGTTTTTATTTCCAACATTCCTGGACAGTCCGTCTCCGTTTCGAGTGATATTTTCCAGAAAATACCAGTAATTCTCAAAATTGAGATTTCCTGACAAAACCCAACAACATGGGGAGTGTAAGGCTGCATCCGAATCTCTTTTCTAGAGCTAGGTCTAGGTCTTCGCTCCATCGGAAATGCATGGAGACGCGTAGCCAATAGACCTAGCCGTAGCTCTGAAAGCCCGTTTCGGACACGGCCTATATTAGTTAAATATTAATCCTTATTTTGGTTATATTCAATGTTATTACAGACCAAAAGAAGAACCCAAGAAAGATGATCGCGGTAAGTCTGTTAGTTCTGATCCACATGTTCACAGTACGTGGCCCCCCCCTCACCACATTTGAAATGATCTAATAATATTATCTAATATAATCTAATGATCACTTACTGTGAAGATGTTTGTTTTCAGAACGGACAGTAACATAATCAAGAACCTTGAGGTGTTTATGTATTCATGCGTCAAACTGAATTGACTCGTTCAGGGTTTCTTATAGAAGAGAAAAGGTTAGAAATTGTCATTTTGTCAGAATTGTGACAAAATATTTGAGCTGTGCCAACTAAAGACAAGTTCATAGTTACAAATAGTTGATTTGGACAGTTCCTAATCTTTGGAGAACAGCTTAAAGCACTTTCAGAAGTTAATGATTACATCTCTACCCATTTTGCAGAGATTGTAGAAGATGAATTCCAAGCAATAAAGGCATCGCCAGGCTTCAGCTATCTATCTGACAGAGAGAAGAGGGTAAGAACATCATTTCCTGATTTTTAATCTCATGCACTTACCACATTGCGAGACCTCACCCAATTTTTTTTCCCTGGACTAATTTTTCTCAATGAAGAAAGGTGAATCACCTTGTTTGTAGTTTGGTACTCAAGAATTGATTTTTCAATTGAATTTGATATTCAGGGATGCCAGTTTTCAGGCAAAAGCCTGACTCCAGGCTTTTCCATCTAAACATTATCGGGCTAATTTCAGGCCTCAATAAGGCATGGGCCCCTCTGGCATTATAATCAGGCTCTGGCCAAGATCCTGAATGGCATTTCTGAACATTTCTTTCAAAAGTTCTTAACATAAGTTAATGCAAGAAAAGTAAAGAGTAAAACATTACCCAAATCCTCCTTGATCCCCCAAAATCCACAAGGACATACTTGAGAAACTTGTCGGAGGCCAATTCCATGCACAAGCGGAAATAAGTCTTGCCGTTACAGACTTCATTATTCTTAATCCATTAGAAAAAAAACGAAATAAAACTAGCTGTACCGCCTGTTTTTCCACTTTTGTTTTGGAAAACCTTTTTTTAATGAATTGTAAATGATAACGAGGCTGTTAACTGTGCAACCAATTTCCACCATTGCGTGGACTTGCCCAGGATGGAAAAAGCAGGAGCCCACTCTCCATTATTTCACAAGTGGCCGGTTGCCTCTCGAGTGTCAATAAACAAAGAAAGGGACAGTAGAGAATTTTGAGAATCGAGGGAGTTTCCTTATAGAAACATCGAGGGAGGAAGGATATCTTTTCTTTTTTTCCTTGTGTGATAACATGAATTGTGCTTGTTTCTGCAGCTCTGTAGTTCCATGAAAATGAAACCAGCCCGATATATCACGCTCAAAACAGTAATCATCAGGGTGAGTGACTAGTGTTACCAATATCACACTTTCCCCAGGTCCCTCTGTTACATATCAAATTTACTTTCCGCACAAAGTTTTTGCATGAGTACTTATACTTCAGTAAACGAAACTGTAAATGTTGCAGTGACTGCAGCAATGCTAATATCCTTGCGTCGCTTCAAGTCTCTCCCTGGTAATAGTTACACTTATAAAACATGCCAGACTTCACAACTGTGAGAGTGTTTGGATGGTACACACGTAACGAGCAACTGTTTTTTGATGTTAGAAAGAATCAGGCCGTCATGTCCTCGCACGCCTCTCTCTGATTTGGTGTCAGATTTCTAGCACCTGCCTTGCCTTATGTTAGTAAAGCGTTGTCCCATGGGGTTTCTCTCCCTGTCACAGATCCAGGTCAAAATTTCATAATGTGTCAAATAGCGCTATAAGTTTTTAGAAATATTTTCCAAAATTGCCACCCAACCTGATGGATAGAAATTATTAAAATGTTCCAGACTGCCGACCACACGGCCCCATTACCGAAAACCATTGTCACGGAGCTGCGGGTGTAAGCACCTGTCAGCTGCAGAGTTCTTTTTGCAAAGATGTTCATCTGCCTGAAAAGTAAAATCAGTGCAGAAGTTGAGAGGCACCGAATTTCTAAATGCTGGATCTACGACTGGCATCTACTCATCAACGACTGGCGACACTTGACAATGGCATGTATTCTGGTTATCCCTCTACTGCAGGACCATCTCATGCGACGGCAAGGTCTACCATGTAAGACCCGGTACCCCAGCAATCTAGACAAGTCGCACCGGAAACGAATCACCAACTATCTAGCTAAAAGCGGCTGGATCAAGGTTAGCTGATGGGGGATTTCCTTGAAAGCCGCTGCATTAATTTTTTTTTTTGTTGGTCTTTTGTATTGTTAACATCTTTGTATTGTCAAATTTACAAACCCCAGAGATTTGGACGGATGGAAACTTTTCCATTGAAAGCAACAAAGGAAAAGATCAATTGAAAAGTCAAGTCCAGTGTAAAAATACCAAAAGCTTTATTTATCAGGCCATGTCTTGTTTGTATATAATTTAGTTCTCAGCTAAACAGGATGTTTTTGAAAGAGCAAAGAATGTAGCTTGCCAGATTTTTACTAGCACAAACTAAGGGTCGTGCTTGACCAGGTTGCTGGTCTTGTACAGGTGTTCTCCCAAGGTGGAGAGAGGTGGGTGTTGCTAGTGGTCAGCAGGTGTTGTAGTCAAGACAATCCCAAGACCAGAGACAAGACCAGTCACAAGATCCCTGGCGAGTCACTGGGCGAACAGTGACAGAAATGCTTTTTTTGTAGCTCATTTGAATAGCTTGAGACTTGAATTCAGACTGGAGGTCTTGCGCCGGGCTTGTCGGGTCTTGCGATGGTCTTGAGGGGTTCTCAGTTGCAACACTCTCAACTAAGGCCTGCAACACCTCTGAATGTACTTTGTGATATTGGAACTATTCAAATTTTGTACAGTACCTAGAAGAAGCGATGAGGATCCCCTTGGATAACGATGGTACAGTTGGGTGGCATAGTACTTGCCTGATAAAGGCCTTGAGTACACAGGATTAGCAGTGCCAGCATTTTTGGGTTATTCTCAAAGATAACCATATTCCCAGGAAGCTGTCCTAAGTGGGTAACACATAACGGGGTTATTATTGAGAATATTTATCATAATGCCGAAATTTGGCATTTGTGGGAAAACTCTGCGCTTGGTTTTTTTTTTACTTCTTGAGGGTTGCCGAGATGCTCAGCAACTCAGCGACTGTCCTCAGTGAGGACTCATTGGTTGGAAGCAGCCCTGTGTGTGCACTCACATACATCCGTCTTCATGGAGAGTAGTGTTTGATCGATAGCGTCCCTTGGGATGACGAGGTCAGCAAACTAAGCTGGGATCGTATGGCCTGCCCATCAATTTTTTCTCCCAATATTTATTGTGCAGCCTGGCCAGCGTATAAGGCAAAGGGGCAATTATATTTGTCTCACATCATCACATCTGGTGTCGTTTTTGACACCAATTGAGCTTAATAGCCAGTGAAGATTTGAAAGTAGTTGGTTTGAGATGCTCGTTGTAGGGACTCTGTTGGGATTACATTTATTTCCATATCTTCCTTGGTTTTTCAGACTGATGGTGAGGATTTTTCAGCAAAAATGTAAAAAGTTCTATTCTGTGTGATTTTTCAATTCCTTTATGCATTGCCTCAGGCATTTGCCTCCTTACATGTACGTGTACTTTGCCAAGAACATTAAAGCCCTCTTAAAAAAAATTGGTTTGTCCCCCTCACAGATATAAAAGTTCAGTTTTGAAATAAATCAGGGTCATCCGGTTATTGCACACTTCAAAAGATTACATCTTGACAGGGCAAACATGGAGAAAAACCTCTCTTGTAGTTATATGCAGCGCCCTCTTTTGACCATTCTTCAGAATTACATAGCACATACAGGTGAAGAGGAAAGTATTCTATACACTCAGAAAATACTGGCCGCCAAGTAAGATGGCAATGTTACTGGTGACTTGTTCTTACCATTGTGGGCCAGTAACTTGATTGTAGGTATAGGGAGGGAACTATTTGTTGGGGGGGGGGTAGAAAGCAAACATCCAATGATGGGGTAGGATTGTCTCCCATGGGCTGACAGATGGGTCAGATGTGATCCAGACATTGACCAGAGCATGGAAGCCAATTCTGAAGAACTGTCTAAATTGAGTTTTGCAAAATACAGACATTTTTCACAGTCTAACGTAAAGCTTTACCTTCAACAGAATGATTCAAGACCTTAATCTGCTTGCCACAGAATTGCAGAAAATATTACTGCTCCCAATACTGTTTGAATTACAAAGATAGCCATATAAAACCTGACAAAAGGGGGAAGAAATGATCATTAGTGGAAAGCAAATAATTTTACAACTCCTCTCTCTGTTACACAACTTTAGGACCAAAAAGTCCTCACTTTAAACAACTCCTGTTTACTCTAACTGTGGTCTCCATGTACAAATTATACACTGCAGGAGGCATAGATAGTCCTTTTGTATTGACAAGAGGGTTGGAATTAAAAACTGAAGTCTTAATGACTTCTGTACAATTCAGTAAATGGCAAAAAAAAAACCAGTCACACAGTGTTCCTCGATTTTGCTGCCCTCAAGGATGTAAACACTTGTTTGTGGCATTAACAATTTGTGGGTACATCAGGGTAAGTGTGATTCCAGTATTGTTAACCAGCTGGCTCCATAGTGTAGTATATTTATTTCCTGGTTGTAGCTTGCGTTGTCTGGGATGAAAACTTGATGTTCGGTGCTGTGTCCGTTGATGATGATTGATGAATGCTGCCCTCTTCGATGAAAAAAAAAAACAGTAGTGTAGGCTACAGTTTGAATTGTTGCGTGGAAATGAAAATGTGAGAATTCAGACATCCTGATCCCCAAAAGCATTCTGATTGGATTTCTAGATTTGTTTTCCTATGTGTGTGTGTGTGTGTGTGAGGCAGTGTGCAGTGGTCACATTGGTGGTTTTGAGAAGTTTGAGTGGAACATCACCTTAACATTTATAACTTAGTCAAAGTGCCATTTCTTGAGTTCGATGTCAGATTCACCAATTAGCAGTTGGAAATTTAACCAAAAAAAAAACAAGTGGTTAGATCTTGTCAGTACTGTTGCTAGCTTGAGTTCGTTCGGATTGGCAAGATAGATTCTGCCTGCCCCTAATGCATATTGCATGCTTTGAGCTTAAAAATGTCCAAAATAAAATGTACTTGGTTTGAAGATCTGGAATGGCCGGATGGTAATTCTGTGCCATTTTCATCAATATATCTCATGGATGTGCGAGACGTACATAGCTATTTGATAGTTTGCCCCAAATCATTTGATAAAATCAAATTGCTTGAAGCTGAAGAAGAAGAATTTTTTGGAAATATAAGTCAAGACCACTTGCCAAAGATTTATTTAGAGGATTGGACAACGATCACTTGAAAAGTAATTAAATTGCTTCATGGCCATCTCATGAGTCAGTGTTACAGAGTATAGGGTCAGTCATTAAGTCCCTTTATAAGGCCAGTGACAGGTAACAGGGTGACCAGTGACAAAGGACTACTTTGGTCACCGTTCATTAGAATGGCCTGTGACTTGACTTTAGACTGGATGGCTTTTGAGGGACCCGACTGCAGCACTGTCGCGCGCAGTGCTTAACGTTGATGGCAGCAATGTTCTAAGTCCTGGAGAGAAAGTGCATTGTCCCTTCTTGGCCTATTCCAGACCGTGTGTCACACCCTCCGATCTCACACATAAGCAGAGTTTGGCTGTGAACAAAGGGTATACAGCTCTGACCAAATTTGTTCAAAAAAACCACATCAAAACAATCATGTTCCACTTGTGATGGGGAAAAAAGTATCATGTATTCACGCAATTGTCCATTATTACCTGCATAAAAATAAATCAATCAATAAAAAGTGGTTTTAAAAGGGGATGAAATAGTGCATATTATATAGCCATTGGCTGTTTCATGTTAAGTTTCCGGAAAAAATTCAGCTTAAAAAAATTTGTGTCTCTGCAGTAGATGTTACTTTCCTTCCTTCTGAAGTTATGCAATGTCCTGTTATTTGTAATTGCCACTTGTTTTGTACTACCTGTCTGTTTTTTAATTTCTACTTAATGCCCTTCAAACGCAGTACTTTCAACAAATGCTGAAGTAGAGCCTCGTGTTGTAGATAAAGCTGGCACTTTTTTTACCTAGTGAGCATAAAAATGGAACCTTAAACTGTCGTAACAGACCAGCTTCAATGTGTGTACTTGTCAGTCAGGACTGTGTCATCAGCTCAACAGAACAGAAAACCGTCCCTAGTTTTACTTGTATGTACATGTAGCCTGCATTTTGTTTTTTCTTTACCCTGTGAAGTGTTCCAGATACAGATTGGTGTGTCAATTTAAGTAAAATTTTCTTCCTCAATCCTTGTTTTTTAAACATCATAGTTAACACCATTCATTTGTCAATCTTGCCCCCCCCCAAAAAAAATGCCACTGAAGTTTGGACTGTGATTTCTGTCTTTTCAAGATTAATTACTTTTTCATATGTAGCATTCCTGAGTAGCGGGGTTTCCAGTTTAACAAAGACGTCCCCACACAATCTTTTTGTCCATTCTCAATTTGTAACTTCCCCGCAATTTGTGCTATGTTATCTTTTTGAATTGCTTTAATATTTGGTAATGTTGGAAGCTATCAATCAATATGCCTCCATATCGGCAACTGTGGAGTCACTGAGAAAATCACAGGTGATTCAGGAAAACCTTGCAGCAACAAAAATTAGATTTCAGATTATTGCCACAATTTGCAATGGGGAAGGGAATTTAAAATTGGTTGCAATTGTTTCAGAAAGCATCTTTTTGATAAAATATTACTGTTGATTTTGATTTTGTTGATTAGTCACCATGATTGAATCTGAAAAGAAAATGGAATGTGGGACAGTTTGAATAATATTGTTAACCCCCAACTTGCCAGCAGTGTTTGATGGTCTAATAGGTAAAGGACTGAGTGTGTCAGAAGGGTCAACCGATATACACGTACCAGCATAAGGTTAAGGGTTCCAGTCACTTACTCATGCCTAAAACTGCTCAGAAACTGTAGTGAGCTGGAAACAACTTTTTGTTGTTGTTTAGTTATTCAAACAAAACTAAGTGTAGAAAAATAATTTAGGTTTGTAATTATCGAAACTTTTCATTTAGGTTTATCCTCCAATGTGAAAGGCAAATCCTTTTCTTTTGTTTTGGCGGTCCATTGCATTGCACTAATACTTATTTGCAATGATTGTACACTCCTGTGGGTTTCCTCTTTCTCTGCTTTTTAACATTGTCTGTGTAATGTGTAGTCCACGTATGAAAACACTGTGAAATGCTGCAATATATATTTTACATGTCACACTTTGCAACTGTGACAACTGGTGACAATGTAAGACGTCCGCGTGTCCTTTCTTTAGTAACCAGTTTCAGTGTGAACAATACAATAATGATGCATGGGGGGGACACAGTGGGGTATTCCAAGCCAAAACTTGCATGACTGTAGCACAAAATATTTAAAACAAGGAACACTGCAAAAAAAATTGTGGTGTTAATTTAACACCCTGGGTGTTATCGCAAGACCACACCACAATTAGCACCACAGAGAATCATCCAAAACTATGTGACACCTGTTATGCAGCTTTTCTTGCATGTGTAAAGTGGTTGTATGCATGACAGCTCACTGTTATTGGCCAAGTTCACAATTTGCTAGCTCTACTGGTTGGACCAATTAACTGGTGTTGATAGCCACCAAAAAGAATCAGGATGCAAGTCCCACCATTTCCATGTATTCTTTATCCATCCGCAACTCGGATTTTTGCATCAGTATTGAAAGCTTACGAAAGCAGTTAAGACGTAAAGCAACAAATTTTGAAAGAAGATTCGTAGCTTATCTGTTCAATACTCTCATATGCAAGTCATCAATCATTCTTGAGATTGGAAACATCAAACATGTAGAAATTTGTTTTAATGTGATGAGTTTAGTTGTACAAATGTACGTTGGTATTGAATGGTTGCAATGAGAATTTTCCTAGGATGTTGTATTAGAAACTCTTGGTTTTTCCATCTAAGTCTGGTGAATGCTTATTTTGTTTGGCCATGGGAGAACTTTTGTAGTTTTGATAAATTCCTATGTGACCAAGTGTGCTTGGGAATGGGTAGTCTTTGTCAGATGTAATTGTTTGTGAATAATGTAATATTGGAGGTTATTGAAAGGTGTTTCATATGGAAACTGTAGGATATTTCATGCAATTCATTGTTTATTTATTAAATGGCATGATTTTGCCATCTACCCTGAAATGTTTTTGAGTCTTTTCTCTGTTTCATGTTTGTTGTGGTTGGAAGGCAAAGGGAATTTTTAAAAATGCATCAAATCAAGTCACACGTTATTGCAATAAGCCAAACAATAGCTTAAACACATTGAACCGACCACTGCAAAGAAACCTCAGTAACAAAACATGACAATTAGCGAGAGCAAAATGGAATGGCAACAAAATAGTTTATAAATTGAAAGTAATTTTGCTTGTCGTTCGCCGATAACAGTGACCACGCCCACCAGCCGCAGACCTGACGTCACAGATAAAAACCAGTCTGATTTACATCACAAAGAGAGCCGCTTTTTCACTTTCTGTGTTCAGTCATTGAGGAAAATACACCCATTGTTGGCTATGACTCACGCGCGGCTGATGGGAGACTAGTAGTGTATCCGAAAAGCCAACACTGGTAGTGTAATCCCATGGGCGATCAGTGCGGCGTACGTGTATTGCATTCGGGTCAGTGGTTTTTGTATTGACGAAAGTTCAGATATTGCGATGGCCTACTCATTCCAGGCCTACTCGTGTTCCTGCAGTCCCCTGTTTACCTAATGACTAAACTGCTATTGCATGCGGCTGGCCAAAGTACAAGTTCAACGGCGAGCTCCCAGTCAATGATTGCCCGAAATCCTTCCTAGCTTAATTTCCCGAGTACCACGCGATGGGACATAAATAGCGGAGGAGGCTTGTCTGCCGAATCGCTTGAACTTTTCCTCCTCCATCGAGTACGTGCACGGTCTTCACTCTTGATATTTATACGACCATCCACTGCGGCTAATGCGTCAGGAAACTGTGGAATATATATTTATGCCATCCTGCAGGATACCCGATCCCACTAATCAGAGGATCTGCACTAGGGAACTCAGCGTGTGGGGCAAAAATCTGCATCATTGGAAGAGGATAGCAGAGAAACAGAGACAACCACTGTGGGTTTACGACAGGTGAGCAGTGCTTGTACAGGTACAAATACCAGTCTAATTTACAGCAGCATCATGTATCTCATTATCCCGTCATTCGGGCTTGTCGTGGTAATCTGTGGTCGTGCATTCCGTTTGCTTAATTAAGATGCATGTAATGAAGACATCAATCTTCGATCAACGCACTGGGCTCATGCTTTTATTTTCTGATGAGAGGTAGCTGCTGCATTTTTTTCTTTACTTTCAACTATATATTTGTTTTCCTACATGAAGAGATGTTCATAAAAATATATAATTAGATATCAAGCATGCCGTTGGACAACAACATGGCGTGTAAGCCTGCGCCTTTAATACCCAACTGGGTTTAAGCGTTTCGTTAAGAATATTTAGAGAGAGATAGTTAATTCTTTCAAAGTGCAACACGATAGGGATTTGGAATTCTCTATTTTTGCAAGTTCGCATGCGGGGGGGGCGGCAACGGGGGACATACCCCACCCCAAATATGCCATTTAAAACAATAAAAAGAAAGCCAATTTTTCGGGGGGGGTTCTGTTTCATTACCCCTCTTCCAAAGGTGTTTAGAAAGACCGAAAAATGTAGCCTCAAATGGTTAGGCCTATGTTAAAATATTTCACATATTTTAGTCCCCTAAAATAAAAAACAAGCTTGGCCACAACGAAAATTCAGTTTCCGATCCGCCCTCGTATTTTTGTGGCGTTCTTCGTGGCTTAATTCTCGTGAACTGTGCGGCCCACTTAGGAAGAAGGTTTCGGTTGTCATTTGCAGGTCAAGTCATTACCATTTGTTTTATGCAAATCCCCAGCGTATCACATTGACAAAGTGAGCCGATGTTTCCATTTTGACTTTTTTGTGTTTCTGCATATGTAAGGAAACACTCGGCCTCAACTGATGTTATGCGTGTGTTGTACGATGGTACAGCATACATGGCATGCATGAACCATGGAGGAAAAAACAGGTTTATAATTAACCATTTACACACATCATTTATATCTGACATTTTCCCTCGGTGAATGGCTCGTGTTCCAGAAAACATGCAGGTGACATTCCACTTCTGGCTCTTGTCCTGTTACCGACCCCAGAAAGCAAAGAAAAAGTTAAAATGGATTTGAACTTCACTGCGGTGCAAATGGGCAATACCGGGGTCCATGGTCCGTGGACCTTGAAAATTCCATGTGGATGTAGATCTTTCTACTACGTTTAACCGCATGCCACTGAAGAGTTCACGCAAGGACACGGTCAGACCAGGAAATGGTGGCGGATTACCTTACGCACAGCGAGAATCTTCATTATGTTTTCAATTACGGTTAGCTATTTTCAGATTCTCCTTGCCAATATCTCCCTGGCACTGCAGCCAACTTATTACAAGGACAGATCTGACAACAGTATCAATTTACAACACGACAAAAGCAGCGAATATTTTGCAACAGGAAATGTCACTGATGGGTGAGGGGAATGAATGTTATTTTCTGCCTCTGAAACAAAATCGTTCCCAACGAATAACTCACTCCTGACACCTTCAACTGTAATGTTTCATCGCAAAAACTCGGCATTGTTACAAAACTATTTGGGGCTGTTGCGCCATTGATTACACGGCAAATTACGCAGGCTTCGGGACAGCGTAGTGCCCAGCATTATCATGTGAGAATTTTAACCAGATGAAATCACTTCATGACATTTTCAATAGCTGCACGGTCTCCTCACCCCAGTTTTTATGGGGCTGAGAACCAATTTATGATTGCCCTTAATTTCCGATGAAGGGACCTTCAGCCGTCTGGCATGTTTGGCTACCGTGTTCACTTTCTGTGCCGGGAAATAATGACGTGTAACAAACGATATCCTGGCAGCTCCCCTGAGTAAATATTGCCTTCGTCCCTTCATTGTATAAAACAGTAATTATCGGCCAAACTACCGAGCCGCACTTCCTTTGCCCTCGCCGTAGTCATCTAGGGTGCCAGGGACTTCCCAACGTACATGTACAGGCATGTACCTTGGCATGGGCGTCCTATTCTGTTCATGACTAAATGAGCATAAATCCTGGGGAAGGTGGGGGTACATGTATACATGTACGCCTATATCCTTCCCCCACTTTTTGAGGGGGCTATTGAATCACCCCCCCCCCACACACACACTTTTTGCGGTGAGCGAAACATTGAGAAAATAAAATTGTGAAGACTTTTTCGGATTTCTCCACCACTAAACTGCTTTTACCATCACCCAGAAAAGGCAAATTAATAAGATTCTGCACGAATGTAATACATAAGTCAACCCCTTCCCCACTTTTCAAATTTCATGGCCGGCCAAGTCATCCCCCCCCCCTTTCAGCACCCCCATCCCCCTATTTCCTCCGATAGCAATGAGCACTGAGCCCGAGTATAAGTTTGTCAAATCATAGGGAGAATAGACGTCCTTTATATCCATCTATCGTAGACGCGCCTAAGTAGTTTACCACTACCAGCTATTTCTAAATGATGGTATACATTCACAAATACCAAATACCAAGAGTAGGCCTGCATGTAAGCCTGATTCTGATAACATCCTTCACCGCGGACCAACGTGATGGCGATGTATTTAGTCCTCAAAATAAGAAGGTATGCTAATGGTTTTGGCAGGTAGGCCTTCCGGATTATCACGGGCACGACACAAATTCACGCTGGAATGGGGAGGCTGCCTAATATGGTCTGATATATTTAGAACAGAATATCCAAACGCGCTCATGGTTTCCGATCAGGTGAAAGGTATTCGTTGGTTCGTATATATTTTGATTGCATTTGTTGTGTTTGAATTTTTTCACTTGTATTTGAATTCACGGGGAGTTTTAGTTTACCATCCCATGCATGCAAAGAATTTAGTGTTTTCCGGATTTGAAAGATAAAATACAGATGTTGGTTGGGGTTTCCGTCGCGCGTATTTACTTAAAACGTACAACCTCGAAGTGTACTAAATTTCATACATGTACTTGTACTTCTAGAATTTCAACAAAATGCAGTCTATTTCCACAAAGCTATGAATGAAGATTTTAAGTTAGCGTGAATAAAAAAGTTAAACTACTATGTCCAACTACAGGCAGCACGTCATGTGCATTATATTACCGCACCAAAGTGGTGACAGACATGTAACTCACTGTGTGGACATACGCAGCGAATCCATTGGAGCTGGAAACAAACCGAGGTTATTTACGACGAAAACCTGTAAAGACAGGTAATAAAAATTTGTCCAAGTGCTGAAACATGCGCGCCAAGGGAATGTATCGCAGTCGCTGACGGACGGATTTAAGTGCTCGTGAAATGAGTTGGGAGAAGCCACAGGAGCTACAATAGCCGGGATTGGGCGGTCGGAGTCTGCGGGCCCTCCCCCGGTGGAATCCCCGGAAAACCCCGCTCGCCAACTCTCTCGATCGGTCATTGTCACAAGTCGTGTTTCAACGCGAGCCGCGGTGCGGCCGGAAGAGTGCCAAAAGTGCCCGCAGCAAAAATCGAGTGACTTAATAGTTCTTGGTTGCCCAAGGAGTGTGTTTTTTCTCTAAATTTGCTTGATTTTTAGGCCAGTTTCCCCCCTTATCATTAGACCAAGGACCTCTTGTGAAGGGCCTGTCTGAAAACAAACGTGATTTTGCTTTACCAACTCAAATGTTTCGTTGATCGTGAACTGATATCGAAAAGTATTCCTAATAGTTGTTTGTAAGGAGCTATCACAGTGCATCTAATTTCTTTCCCTTAAAATGTCTGTATGGTAAAGTTAAGCGTGTTGCAACTTTTTTATACATTACTTGATGGTCATTAAACTTAAAGTTTGTAACTCGTAAATGAAAATTAATGTGGTGTCCAGTTTTGGGCTTGCAAAGTATATACAATTCATTTAAAGCTTCCACTTTTACATTGCAAACACCTGTAACAGGGACAAACCTATCCGCAGGACAAGTAAAACTAACATCGGCCAGTTGGAATAATTATTTTTCTGGCATTTCCTGAAAGTGTGGCAATAACATTGTGCGTGGGTTGGCTTGGTGGGTGCTTTGTGATGTACCGTATCTCGCCACAAAAAGGGTGACCCGTTCGATGAACTATTGAACAAATTTGAACAATACTCACTGGAAATTCCAAAGAGGGTAGTGGTGATGTTTTGACTATACGATTCTTAGCGGTGATTCATGCATTAAGTGATGACGTGATATGTTGGAAAACACACAACTAGGTTGAATTATTGTTGAACTTGTTAGACGGCAGCCTGGGTGTTAGTCCTCTGTGCTGATGTTGGGGCTCAATTTCTTTTTTCAGAAATTCGAAATCATGGAAGGGAGACTGCGGAGGAATAGTATGATTGAGTTTTGCCTGCTGTCTTGCCTGATAATCGTGACAACAGGTAAACTAAGCTCACTTTTAATTTAACACAATTTATATAAAATCGGAAGCATTTTACTGTTTTGCTTGTTGGATTATAAACTGAAATTTAACTACAAATTTTTCAGATTAGATTTTTAATAAAAGTTCTTTTAGGTGCAGCTGATTAAGGAGACACAAACCGAAAAAGTATCAAATATTTCAAACATTTTTGAAGTAGCATATTTCTGCCTGTCTTGTCCAGGTCAAATTACCCCTACTGCAAGCCCAACGAACACATGTGCCAGTCATCCATGCGAGAACGGAGGGTCCTGCACTGCGTTTCCTAATGCTTTCATCTGCAGATGTCCTGAGGAATACATCGGTCTCAGATGTGAAACACATTCCTCTCAACAAGGTACATGTACAGATACCTTGGGCTCTTTTGCCAAGAAAAGTGTTTAGGATTGTGGGATTTGAGGACAAGGATTCTCTCTGAGTGCGGTAAAAGACTAACTTGAACTTGTATGGTTTGTTCAGTTTGAATCAAACTCCAGTTTTTAGGGTGGAAAATAAAAGCTTTCTGTGCAGGTTTGAAATTTAGTGGACAACTTGTGCCCAGCCATGAAATGGACTGAAATTAAACCAATGAAATTTGGGCAATCCAGACTTTCGTAGGACTACAATTGCTTGTTTGTTCCATTTTTTTAACTTCTCATATCAGTCTGTATATAAAATCCTGGGCAGTCTTTGAGTCCTGCATTACGTAATCTATGAACGGTGGATAAAGAGTAAAACTGAAATGTACATGAAAAATTGAAGAGGAACCAGTTCTTTAATGAAGGATTTCCTATGTTGAATTGTTGAAGAGAAGATATAACCAGGAAAACTTATGATCCCTGTTAACTTTAATTTTCTTGAGGACAAATGAGGACATTTGCATGCTTGGGCCTATAAATCACAGCACTAGATTAAGGGCAAAATCTGTATATATTTCCTATGTATGGAGGAAGTTCCCAATTATTTTAAGCACTTCATCTGTGTCAGAGCTGCGTCTAGAGGGTTATAAGGAGAACAACTAACCTCTTCTCGACCCATTTTCAACAAGTCCAATGAAATGTTTCCTTCCCAGGTCAGACAGCATGCATCAGTAACCCCTGCGTGCGGGGCGAGTGCGTCAGCACCGGCCTGCAGCAGTTCACCTGCATGTGCCCAGCGCAGTGGCGGGGCAGCACCTGCAACATTGACGTGGACGAGTGCACCAGCAATCCCTGCCGTAATGGCGGCACGTGCCAAAACCTGCCAGGGAATTACAGTTGTGTCTGCCTCACGGGTTACGCTGGCCAAAACTGTGAACAAGGTACATGAGATGCACATGAACTGCACATAGTGTGGTCTGTCTTGTATTTTTGTTCAGTTATGTGAAAAGTCTTTCATCGTTCAGTTCATTCAAGCTACATTTTATTATATCAACTCCTTAAACTGGGACTGTGCAAAACTGTCTGAATGTTTGATGAACACAAATGATAAATGATATGCAGTAGCTCAGAATGTAGGCATTCAGTCAATTAAAATGTTAAATCATTTCAAAAATAAGAATATCAACTTTAAATCAAATGAAATATATGTACAAAGTCAACACTTAAAATTGATGTATTGATCATTAAACTATTGCTACATTGAGCTCTAATTGACATTATTCAAATATTGTGAAATATTGGGATATATTCAATCAATTAGAAATTTTGATTTTTCAATATGGACCTAGTCCATTCTGAAACATCTCTGTCAGCTGATGATTCAACATTCATTAAAATGTGAGTGGGAAGGAAGTTATTGCAGCAAGTGAGTTGATCGAGGGCACAACAGTCATAATCAATATTGCAACTGTATAAATGTATATTACATGTATATATGGAATAGTACAACTGTATAACTTGAATTGATATTCTAGGAAGCACTCACATTTACATATTCACAGTGTTATTTTAAAGTATCTCTCCTTTTGCTCCTTGCCAGATGTGACATGTCCAACCAATGTGTGCAACAACAATGGCACCTGTGTGGTTCAGAATCAACAGCAAGTCTGCATCTGCCCCGTTGGCTTCACTGGAACAACCTGTCAGGTTACAGGTAGGTTTTCTTGTCCTGCTAAACTGTTTCCCTTCAGTGATTGATTTCCTTCATTAAGATATTTAATGTGCAAAGAGCAACCTTGGACTGGTACCCATTGGAACTCAAGTATTCTCTCCTTCTGCTCCTTGCTAGATGTGATGTGTACAACCAAGGTGTGCAGCAACAATGGCACCTGTGTGGTTCAGAATCAACAGCAAGTCTGCATCTGCCCCGTTGGCTTCACTGGACCAACCTGTCAGGTTACAGGTAGGTTTTCTTATGTCCTGCTCATCAATTCTCCTTCAGTGATTGATTTCCTTCATTGTGTAAAGAGTACCCTTGGACTGGTACCCATTAGAACTCAGATTTGTGCATGGCTCTTTTTCAAGTACTTTTAATCGCTTCAAATTGAGAGCATTTTCACTCCAAATAGTTTGAGACATAAGATAATAGTTCTATCTGTGCATGATCTCTCACTCCACACCACCAAGAAAGAGGTTTAAAAAAAGAGCATGGAATATCTGTGTAGTGTGAACGCATTCAGCAAATAACCAAAACAATGGAACGGATGTTGAGCTAGCTGAATATTAAATCCAATCTGATAGGTATTTTCTCAGTGGAGATCTTAATGAGTGATCCATGCTCCATGCTATTTCTCTGAGACTGCAGCGAATAGTTGGCTTTTAAAAAGACGTCTGGTTCCCGTATCTACCTTGTGCTAGACTTTCAGTTCACTTTTCTTGCTCCTTTCTTCCAGTACATGTAGTTGTTCCCTTCTAAGAATTTCTTTCTCTGCTTATCTCTGGTAAAAAAATCTTCTTGCAGCAAAACATGTTGAGAAATTCTGATACTGAGTAGTTTGTAATAATTTCGTCATGCACAGGTGATGACAAGCACATTTGCTTCTGGGGTTATGATCAGCAAATTGCAGACAGATTTCATCAGTTTGTCTTGCACTGAATACATACATAGTTCTTGTGGTAGAGCTGAGTCAATTCAAGTAATTCACTATTCGAATATTTGACCTTCAATTTGATCGAAGATCCAAATATTTGGTCGTACTGACCGGCAGATTTTTGATGAACAAACCAGACACAAAATCAGTTGCAATAACATACACAATTGTACATTATAATCAATTTTATAGCTTCTCACATCTAGGAGTATCTCCAGCCATGATTTAGCAAGATTTAAGAGACAAACAAAACTATCTTGTGGCTCTTCTGCTGTTTGTTCCATATTATTCTTGAAGAATTGATAAAAAAGGCGGAATTCATAGGCATTGGAGTGTTTTGCTTGCTGTAGATAAAAACTGCTAAATTTGTTAGATTGTGAAACAAAAACATGTCATTAATTTATGCTTATTAGAGAAAGATTTGCACCGTAGAGCTGGGAATTTTTTTAGCACAGTACATGTACATCTTCCGAATTCTTGCCATTTCTGTGTAATTTCATTGTCTGGTATGCTGGTGGAAGAAGGAAAAATATGGCGTTTTATTTTCCCCGACCAGATAGGCGTGTTATTGCTATCATTTTTGTTGTGTCTAGATTCCAATAATCAACCTGCCAGGCATGTCCACATGCATCATTGGGACTTTCAGTTGGAATGCTTCACAGAAACATTATCCTTGACTTTCCCCCTCATGTTTTTTGTATATTGAGAGCACAGTAAAATAACAGCATAGTCATGCCTGCATGATAGCATCCAAGCACTTCCAATTACCTACAAATAATAATCGATCAGCCCAGAGACCTTCTGAAACCAGTCTTTACCAGGTGTATTGCAGGTGATTTAGTAAGCATAAAGTTCACACATGACAGTAACCTTTGGTGTGAGGGGCAAACTATTCTGTAGTGTAGCTCTGGGAGAAGACTCAACAGCTCATTTACAGCAACATCTCTGAAGTTAGAAAAAAAAAGTCTGCATACTTCCCGAACCCAAGTCGGCCATGAATAAAGCCAGACATTTCTTGCGAGACTGTAAAGTCATGCAGACGCTGCCTCTAATCCCTTTGCCATGCCTTGCCTTGTTTATTCAGAAAGCTGTAGCCCTAATCCATGCAAGAATGGCCACTGCGTTCTGTCCGACGAAGACCCCAATGGCTATGTGTGCCACTGCCATGCCGGGTATACGGCCAGATTATGTGATCAGGTGCTACATGGTGCGTAAAAGCATACAACCTTCGTGGTTAACAGTATGAATTGACAAGTCAAACTTAATGGTAGCTCACTTTGAAAAGAAAACTTAACTCAAAATTTGGAACTTAGCTTTTGAAAATACATGTCAATACAGAGCCACAAAGAAGGAAAGGAGACTAAAAAAGAAAGTGCCAACTTCTTGAAAAGGTTTAATATAGTTTTAAAGTTTTTTGCTTAGCAGTTTGCTTGGAGATGAAATCTGAAATTTCTGTAGAAGCTTACTGTTGAGGGCTTTCTACAATACATGCACTGTTTCCTTTCCTGAAGAATGTTTAACAGCTGTTTAATCTAAAGTCTCATTGCTCTTAACAAAGTTTCCCAGTCATTCTAACTGCCAGACTTGTGTACATAGTTCCTAATAAATGCATGTAGGATGATGCATCTTCACCAACACGTAGATGGTAAAGGACCGTGTAAAATTAAACAATCTATGATCAGCATCAATATACTCGGCATTAAATGAACCGGACGGGAATAATAATGCGCATGATATAATGACACATCCAAATTTCAGTAGTTTTCTTTAGTCTGCACAACTTTGTGATGAGACCAGCTAAATCAGACACAGGAAAATATCATTACCCTTATTTCAGGCAACAATTATGTTTGCGTAATATTAATGTTACCAAGAATTTAGACTTAAGCTGCAACTTTCCTTGAACCCCGTCTCTCTGAATGTGCAGTTGCATGCTCCCATGATGGTGACACATACTATGATGGTGAAGTTAGAAATGACCGATGCAACCAATGGTGAGATCCAAACACATTTTTTTTTAACATGAAAGCAAATTTGTCAGCATCTGTGGTACTGTATGGTTGTATGTTTGTGTCCAATAATAAATAGCACAAGATTAATCAGATTTCGATCTCACTTAGAAAATCATTGCATTTGTTGAAATACATGTACATGTGCATGTACGAGTGGTTGTTGCCAAAGAATTGCTTTGCACCTGTACAGATTGTTGCCTGTAGTTACTCATTACAGTCTATTGTAACACTTAAGGTAGCCTACCATGTTACAATACATTACACAAGGACCAGCACAAATGTTATTTGTATGTCACCTATTGTGTTTTCTTTTCTTTTGGAAAAGCCTGTAGCTTTTACATGTTTGTAGCAGTGAAGTAATTCACCTGCAAACTACAGCAGAGAAATAAATTGACAATGATGACTTTTAGGGAATTAGTGAAATACCTGATCTTATTCACTAAATTTGGAGAGAAAAAAAATTGTTCAAATTATTGATTCATAGTAAGAACTAGACGAGTCTGATGAAAGGTATGTTGTATCAGAAAAAACAGGGTTAGTGCATTAAATTTTGGGGGGAGACAGCAGAGACAACTATGTCATTTCACATGGTATTCTTGTCATTTTTGTTCAGTCACTGCCGTGGAGGTGAATGGCTATGCACAAAGAAATTTTGTGGGTAAGTGCATTGAAAGCAAAGAGCAAATACGGTTAGTGCCATTTCCAGTTTGGAAAGTTTATGTGGTAAAATTCCACAGACTGGGTTATGAAATCTGTGTAACTGTGAAATGGTTACACATGTAAGAAAAATCAGGTGTCTGATTTTTCACAGCTTGTTAGTGGTGTTTGCTTTGAAGGGAAAAAAGAAACGCGACCACCTTTCAGTCTCACTGTGTGTAGTGGGCCACTATCATATACAGCGACAAAATTACCAAAGGAATATGCATTAAGAATTGATAGACATGGGAAACGATATATGTGTGGCCTTATTTAGATTGCATAGAAAACACCCCCCCCCCAAATTTAAAGTTAAAAATGTTCTTCTAAAAAAGTTCCACAATAAAAAGTGAATGCAGTTACATTATATAATTGCAATTATATTTTAAGTTTTTGTTCTCATTTCATTCAGATCCTTTAGTGTCATGTTTGACTTTATCGGCGATTTCAGTACCATTGTCCAAGGGCAGGAGGACAAATTTAAAAGGTAAATAAATGAAAGGGCTCGAAGATACAGAAAAATAAAGTTAAAAAGTTCATCTTTGTCTTTCATTAAGAGACCGCAGAATACCGTAAAATGTGTTACAGTGGACTAAGCACTTTGCACTGGTCAAAATTATCATCAACTGTGTTGAAATGTTGAGGCTATAAGGTTTGGTTGCTGAGCAACATATCACTGAGAGGAATAGGGTGATAAGATTAACATACTTTTCTGGTTGTTTTAATTTTTCAGTTCATTGAAAACTGACTTGGCAAGAGTGTTTTCTATTCAAGAAAGCATGATCGCAAACCTTATGGTATGTACTTTTTCCTTCCAGTGCATTTGGTCAAAAAAGATACAAAGGTTTTAAAATTTGAAGTTTTCTAATGATGGAAAGAATATTTACTAGGTCTATAATGTGAACTCTTTTAAAATCCCCTAAAAATTGATTAATGGGCCTCTATTTTCAAGAAAAACCATGTTTGGAAACTGTACATCTCAAACGCATTTCCAAGTAAATTTCAGTAATCCTCAAAGATGTACATGTGTGTACATTCCTTGAGAGTCCCGACAGTAGAGATGGGCTGTCTAATCAGTTGCCAGACACAAGGCAAAAGAAACATCCAGAAATTAGCATAAAATGAGGCCCAAAATTGCAGTATGACCCTTCATTGGTGTAAAACTACATTGCATGCTTGAATAACTTTTTGGTGGGAAATTTATCAAAATGGCAAGACACTGACTTGAAGCTGCAATCTAACCCTGCTTATTTGGGGTTGAAAAGTGAACGAATACTCGTTGATGTCATCTGCAGGTTTCAGCCGGCAGTATTCATGTAGAGTTTGAACTGGTGGCTGTCGTTGATTCACACCTGAACATTGAAGACGTTGCAGCCCAAATGCTTGCCAAGGTAGGAGAACATCAGTCAAAAAATATGTTCAAAAGTCTCATCCACATAATGGGAAATGTCAGAAATATCACACAACTGATTCACACAGGTTTTGACTGTTTTCAAAAGAGTTTTGTAAAACCTGTTTTTGCTTTGAATCGGAGTAACATTCTGATTGACTTACACAACACAAAAATGGATCCGTGTTAATACACCAGCATGATTAAAACTATTAAGAAAGAGCACAGTTGAATGAGTTACAAAGGACATATTTTGGAGTCAGTTTTAATAGAGGGGTATCACCCACTCATTCTGTTGGACCAAAAACTGGAGTAAAATTGACTCACTTTTCTACTCAACTTCAAAGCAGTAATACTACAATAGTTAATTTTTAGGCGGACATTAGCATTTGTATTGTGCTTCTGGCAGAAACTGATAAAGTCTGAGAATTTAGACGAACAGAGTTTACTGTGGTAATTGTAATATCACCCAGACAACGATAGGCCGCATCCTTCTTGCAGGGTTTATCAATATCAGTTGTCGAGTCGAGGTGCCTCGTCAGTTGTGCAGGTGTTTCTCCTTCCAGGCAGTTTACATTTTGACAGTGGCAGCAATATCACAAATGAAAATTAATGAAAGTGATGCAATAACCTCGAACCTTTCTGGAAGCGAGGGTTAAATTGAATGTCACACCTAGGTGGATTTCCAATGTGTCTCTCCTTGTGAGATTTTACAGTTAAACAAGTCATGAAAAATTAGCGAATAGTACCATGGCCAATGGAAATGCTGCCTTTATGTTCTATGGTTTACTTAGCCTACAAACATGACATACAGCAGTCAAAACTAAACGGTATGCTGTTTACAGTAACCAAATAATTAGAAGACAGGTAAATACTACAAGTATTATGAGATGAAAGACACTTGTTTTTCTCAGTATTTGTCCAACTTTCTCAGATTTTCCCTTTTTTATTTTTGGACAATCTAAGTTTTTCCTCGAAAAGTAGTAAGAGCTAGTGTGCGTTCTTGAACTGAGATCCATCAAAGACCACATTTTCTGGAAGGATTTTGTAAACCCCAATATTGTTCCATTCAATTTAAAAACAATTGATTCCTTGGTAACAGCTTACCTGCTTGAAAACATTTTCCAACAGCTATCAAATTTTCTAATGACCCAATTCATCTTTCACACATTCCCTTTCTCCCACACATGTACAAAACATAATACCACAGAACTTTATGCTCTCAATTTGCACTGAAGGAAACCAAACCATGGAATCCTTAAACACCAGATGGACATCAAAGTTGATAATACATTTTGAATCATGTTAAATTTGACAGCTTGACTCTGGGACATACTACTTCCGTTTTGAAGGAACTTCACTCTTTGTGGACGTGTCATCGGTCCAACTGGAGAAAGTGGAACCACCAACCAAGGATCCCAGTAACCCAGCAATCAGTAATGTGGTACTGGTGGTGGTGTGTGTCCTTGTCAGCCTGTTCTTAATCATAGCTGTCATCATCGGAACTGTTGTCATAATAGTGAGTGAAATTTTATTCGTTTTAGTCTCCTTCCTAGTTTCAAATAGTCAGCTGCTTAAAGTTGTTTTTCGACAATCAAATTGGTTTTTACATGGTTTAGATGCCCCAAGTAGTGTTTAATTTGATCAAAACAATTAAGTCTGTCCAAACATTGAGCACAATTGGCAAGAAAGGGCAGCAGATTAAACAAAAAAGGTTCACATTTTCCCATCGTACCACTATGTGTAAAGTGTTTACAGACCAGTTTAATTGAATTTATTTGGATTATATTTTGAGAAAAGATGAAAGACAAAATGCCTGTGATTACTCCCATAATAGCACCAAAAAATCCTAACACTTGGGCCCTATATCAAGTTTTCATTCACATCCTCAAACTCAGTGCACTGAAATCCCTCACATGCTGAATATTCCTGGTTGCAAATACACAAAAAGTATGCAAAAGAATTAATACACACTATGACAGACACTAGCAAATAATATCTTCATTCATCAAATGGTCTCCAGTAAGGGTGTTGACGAGACAGTGATTTCAACAGGCACATATATATCTTGTTCTCTGATATCATAGGCAAACATTCCATTCCACTAATGTTAGTTTTTTCATTTACCTTTTACAAAATACTCTCTTGTCAGATCTAATTTCAAGAGAATCAATCACATATTCTGCCCAAGAATCCCTTGGTTTCTGTTTTCTGTCGTTCCCACCCAGAAAACATTTTGAGTACAAAATGCTAGGGTGTGTTTTTTCCACCTGTCACAAGGACTTTGTCCCCCCCCCATCAAAAAAGTCACTATATCCAGAGAGAGTCCAATCTGGCCGCAGATAGAATTTCCAGGACTTGAAACTCAACACCGAAACTTAAAGGACTTAGTGTCAGATCCCATTTTCTCCCCAGTTAGGCCCCAAGTAACCTTGCCTCAGGGCTTCCAGTTCAGTTCACAGCCCAGGTGACCCGTTTAAGAGGAGATATTTTTTGTTTTCCTGTGTAAAAACATGGTTCTGCTACCAGGTTCTTGATTTGGGAAAGATTTTGACAGCATTGTGATCTGTTGATGAGTTGCAGGTGCCCCCTTTGGAAAAGAATCGCTGAAGGGAAGGAAACTGTTGTTGGTGGCAAGGACTTGAACTTGGAATTTTTTTCATGCATTAAAACAAATTAAATTAGGATGTGTAGATCATGATTAATTGTTGATGGAATGTTGTCATTGGGGAGATGTTAACGTTTAATGCTGGCTTGCCCTTCACCTGTATGACTTATTAAGCGACTATGCCTGTGTTCTGTGGTTGTGAGAGAGCCTGTACAAAGACTTAAGACACTTCACAAGCTTCCTCAGAGTTGGACTTAAACATGCAACCTCTTACTTGAAAGTGTACAGTGGAAGCACTTTGGGGATTTTTGCTATCATGGATGTGGTCCCAAATTTGTGTCATGTAACGGGACTTGCATTCTGCCTTGTTCAATATTTGAGATGAGTTACGTAGGTTTTTCTCAGAATATGCCAAGAAATGTGTCCAACACCAACAATGTCTCTTTCCCTCAATGCCTTCTTTTTCTCAAAGGATTCATAGCTGCATTCAGTGTACTACAGTAAACGTGTATTTCTGGGCATCAATCCTTTGGCTTATAAATCAATGAAATAATGGATGTCGAAATAGGATTGTCTCTGTAACCAAAATTGTCAGTGAACAACTAAATGAGGAATGTGTTTCAAAATATAATTTCCGATGACTTTGCAGATTTGTGCCTGAAGTTATTGTGCATTTACCGGTGCATACTATTAATGTGATGTTGTTAAGAGGTGACAGTTTGACCTTTCTTGGATTGCTCATATGAACGAAGGTTCCGTTTGTCAATATTTTGACCGAAGCAGTTATTGTCAAGACCATAAAGTAATCCTTAAATTATTTCGACTTGGTTCAGGTTCATCGCAGGCGCTCGGAGAAGACAGCTATGGGGCAGTTCCGTGGACGAGATCAAAAGGAAGAGGTACACGTATATCACCTTTTGAAACGATTCCAGTGTTTTCAAACTTTTAATGAATAAAAAGGCAATTGGCAATTTCACTGTTTAAAGTTAAAGAAGATTTTAAAAAGCCCGAGTGAAATAATCTACATGCTTGGATTGCTTGGGTTGGTCTCGATTAGAGGTCCAGACTCTGTTGTAGCACTGCACGCTGCTTTTCATCATAGTCGTATGCTAATACCTCTGAGCTGATAAGCAGACAGAATTTGTCGGTCAGTACGGTATACCAGTCCCTAGCAAGAACATGTACAAGATTTGTTAGTCTGATTCACTGTAAAAGAATGTAGGACAATACATTCCACTTCCCAGCAGTGCATCAGCACAGTCAGTCAGGCATGACACGACCAACGCTACCCTCAAAGCCTCCCAAGTATTTTAACCCAGCCGAAATGTCAGGAATTGCAGTACAGGTCACCGCATCTTAATTGAAATTCTCATCTCTGCACAAACTCTAAACCCCCCCCTCCTTTCTTATTCTTGCAGTATCCAATGAACAACACCAACCACATGCGACACCACAATGACCTCTATAGCTCCGTGCCCAATGACAGTGGCAGCTTGGCCAGCAGGGGCAGCGGGGCTGGTGGCAACGACTTGAAGGACATCAACATTGCCATGTTTGCCAAGGTCGCCGACCCAAAAGACAGCAAGTCTGGTCTTGACCACGTCTGACCTCCCCTCCTCCCCCACCACTCCAACGCTCAACCCCTCCCCCCATCTGCCCCCCATCCCCTTCCCCCCCACGGCCAGGCTGTGATTGATTAGCGAGAGTTGCGCCCCATTTAGTGGAACAAGCTCCTGGGAGCTTTTCCAGAGATGCCTCGGGGTTCACTCTCCAGACATCTGTTTATGCATAACTCCAAGTCTGGATGTTGATCATCAAAGCTCAAACATGACTTTCACATGAACAAGGTCTTTCATCCTGGTATCAGGTCATTTCACTTAGAAACAGGCTACTACTTAATATTCATCTTTACCAGTAAATCTTCATTGGTTTTAAAAAATTATCTATTTGCTGCTGACAAAACAAGTTCACCAGGATAACGTTACCACAGGGACATTTGGAAATTTAAGAGCATTTACATGTACAGTGTAACTCATTTTGTGGGGAGGAGAAACCCAGGATATCCCTTTTTTGTGCCAACTATAAGATTTTCTTTACTTTCTTCATCATAACCTTGAAATGTTTCATTCCATACACGTCGATCATTGATTCGTCAGAGCTGTGCAAAATTCTAGAAATCATATGTACTGGGCAAAGCGAGGTGTCATCCTCAACTGAATATCCGGTTTCAGTAATTAGCCAAAATTCGACAGGAAAAAGCAGTGTGTCCCAACTGTGTTAGTAGTTGAATTCACACTACTCAGTAAGCCGCTTTGGTTCATTCACAGCCCTTCTCTAACAACTTAAACCCCCCCCCCCATCACTTCCCATCAAGAGTTACCTTCACTGGGAGACACTTTCTGGGCTCCAGCTTCAAGTTCAAGTTGTTCCCATATTCTCCAACCCTGTGGTCAGGATTTTTCCCTCCACATGTCACAGACTGTCGAACTTCACACCCCCTACCCCCCTCACAGGGCTCTAATAGGTGCCATCAGTCATGTGATGACAGGAGAGGTCATCAAAGGTCATGACCATCTGGTAGCCTTCACCCTCCAGAGATTAGCCCTGTGCTGGGCTTTTTCCCAGCCCCATCAGATATTTTTGTTTCAGTTCTAAGGGTCATTAGTTGGTGTTTTTGTCCTCATAACTGATTTTTATGGGGTGAGGGATAGGCAAATCCCACGGTGCCATGCGGTAGCAAAGGCATTTAAAGCTGGCATTGTCTGTTTTAATTTATTCATTATTTATTCATATTTTTATTGCTGTCGGCCCACTGCTCTTTTTTCACATATGTTTTAGAGAGTGCCACATGTTCTTGTTAACTTTCAATGTATTTCATGTATGTAAATGGTGCAGTGTTATTGTCTTGCACTTTATATGTGTGTAACGTTTTTTTTTTTCTGTGTTTACACAGCAATATTTAAAGGTGTTGAAAATCTTTCTTCAACTAGTTCAAGGGCACACTGTATGATCCTGGACAGTGTGTCTGACCTCGCACTGGTCACCATATTCTAGCGATGTAATATTTATGTTTGCGAAGTGGAGTTCTTTATGGAGAAAACGGATGGTGGTGGTGCATTGAACAAAGTCGCACGGCCCAAAGCATTACCCGCCAAGATTCATTTACAGAGCAATGATGATTTCCGTGCTCTTGATATCGTTTGGGCTGGTACCCCTGCTCTTAGCACAGGTTGACGAAATCATACACATCATTCATGGTTAGAATATCAAAGAGCAGCAGTTGAATTCCTTTCTCCAGTCCTCTGTTCACTACATATGTACCAAGGAATATTGTTGCATGACATTTCAGATGTATCAAGTGTTGGTTCAAGTCTAATGCAGGCTCACAGAAAGGACTGAAGCTGCTTGGTGTTTTAGATGACACGTCCATGTTTTCCATGTCTCGTTCATTTGATCTGCATTCATTCAACTGACTGTAAATTTGTCTTCCAGTAATTTCTTTTTCCAAGCATTTGTGTATTCAAATTACTTCACCTGTCAAGTTTGAATAGTTGAGGATACAGATTATTTAATTATTCCTCTTTGGAATTAAGTATCATTCCTGAAACCTCTTTGAAGTAAAGAAACCTCTTTGAAGGAAATAAGGCTCCTTCAGCTTTGATGTTGAAAGCTTACAGAAGGAATGGCTATTTCAAAACTAAAAAATCCTGAAACCTGTGTAGAAATCACAGGGTTGGGACATAACCAGAGAGTAAGCAGATGGCAGAATTAAGAAAAAGGATAAGTGGGAATTTTGACAGTTTTCGAACCAAAGTGAGAAATCAATGCAGTCTTAGTACTGAGATTCTTTATAACATGGTAAAATGCGAGTTGTGATTGTATTCAGAATGGTAACGGTATTACAGGAATGTAATGACATCAACAGGTATCACCGTCAAATCCAATCTTTCCCTGATCACAGTCAAGGAATACTTACATGTACTTTGTCTAGCAATTGTTGAACACTTTGATGTGGGACATGGTGTTTTATCACACTAGGAGGACACGTGGTAGTCTACAGCATGGGTTGTCCTGTATCATTGAGGGAGCCAAAGGTGCATGTCCCCCATCTCAGCAGTTAACTATTGTTTTATTATTTCATGGCACACTGTAGTCAAAAAAAGCAGGTGGTGCGGCACATTCTGTAGCAAGAATAATTGCCGTGTAATCTTCAGTTACTGTGAGTGTTTCTATGAGCTAACACGTTCTAGCTTCTACCGTACGATACGCCCATAATAATGAAAGCAAATCATCCACAAGGCAGCATTTGGGTGATGTCTATGAGAGACAACAATTGTGGTTTTACAGGCTTGGCATGTGACTTTTCTTGACACATGAAATTACAGTATCTGAGGCACAAGATAAGAAATTGTTTTTAAACTTTGACAAATACACTGGGACTTCCAAGTTTAGGTCCTTGGCTTTTGGTTGTGACTTGGGTAGGCTGGTGTAAAAAGCACATACCAGCAAGCGCTCTCACGGTATAGGCTGTGATATCCCACCAAGGGATTTCAGTGAAAGTGGTAGGGGATATCCCACCAAGGGATTTCAGTGAAAGTGGTCGGGGTGGTGCAGCGTCTTAGTACCCGGAAGGTCAGAGAGGGAACTCTCGGCTACTGGTTTCATATTGGTAACAATACCACTCTTTTAGAGTTCAAGCACTCCGTCAGTCAAGTCTGATGGAATTTGTTGTTCTGCTTTGCTTCATCTAACAAGTATTCTCCTTGTGATGTAAACAGCTCGGTTAAAAAAAAAAATTGATTGGGGGATCGGCAAGAGCCCTTATCAAAGCCCCCGAGGGGAAGAGGGGGGTTTAGTGGGGCTTTGGTGTGGAATGTAACATTATTGGTGGGTGTCTCACCCCAATCCTGCATGGGAAAAGACTGCACTACCCGATGACGCCACGGTCCAACAATTCATCCCCAACCCGTAATCCCCCTGTTTAGCAGGCCTACATCCTGGTGGTAATCACCGCCAGTGAAAGGGCACACCACCACTTTAACTCTCCTCTCAGTCTGGAGCAAATGGAGTTAGGCGCTCCTCTGATCCCTTCCCCTATTAAGTGATTCTGCCCTCGGGGAAGAATGTGACAGGTAAACATGGTTTTACTAAATTGCTTGTCCAGATGTCTTCTTTTTTTGAGAGAGAGACATCTGCAGTTACTCGAAAATGAAAGCAGTGATTGATCTACCTAATTTGTTCTGTATAAAGCAAGCCATAAATGTGCTTCAAAAGTTTGTAAATCTGAGACTGCCTATGTGTATATTTGGTCTGGCATTTATATATGTAACTCAGTGCTACAATTTTAATTGGTTACCAATATTAAAAGCAAGCAGTGCATTGCAGATGAGATATATTCATTGCCCTGCCTGGTTCCTTTTAGAAGGTATTGCAGTTGGTATAAATATGGATCTCACGAGTATACTTATAGTTTTGAACATTTAATTTGAAAGAGAAAAATGTATGCTTGCATTATTTAAAACCATATAAATTGAAGTGGACTAAATCAAAAGTATGACCTTTTCAAATGTGTTACTGCTGTCACGTTTTGTAACTAACATCTTCAAATCTCATGGACCTTCCGAACAAGTCAATGCATAATTGCCATTCAACTCCAGCAATTTTTATGAACACTTTATTCCTTAATTTCATTAATTAACAAGCAACGCAATGATGAGCCTCGGCGAGGATTAACTCATGACATTCCTCTTTGTTTTGCCTTCTTTCATTTAACATTACATAAACCTATGCTTTTCCTACAGCTGAATTTTACATACAACTGAATGATAAACTTCAAATCATTACTTGGGCAAGAACAATGTAGCAGGTTCTTGATTCCTTTGGGCATAATGTAAGCACTCCGCGTAAGTGTTGTCTGCATAGACTTTCTTCTTATACTCTAACATTTGCCACAAAATGATAATACATGTATCTTGTGACCCTTTCTAGCATGCTGTCAGGTGTGTTCAGCAGTTTATGTTAGTCTATCACAGCATGTATTCATATGATTGCATCTAATAAGGAGATTTAACTTACTTATTTTTCAATAATTTGCGTGCACAGTGAACGTATCTGTGCTAAATACAGTTTGTCACTTTCGCAATACGTCACGTGGCAAATATTTTTGCTCACTCCGTCTCCCATTACCAACCTGCTGGTTAAATGGTTAAATGTTGAAACGCTACGTGCCACACGGAGACAGGAGGGGGTCCCAGAATAGCTTGCCTATCGCACTCATCTGAGAAAGCTAGTTGGGTTGATCTAGCTACTGCATCTGGCTAACTACCATGCAGCTCACTGAATCTTTAGAATTGTTTACCCTTGACTTGCATGCAAACGCTGAAGTATATACAAAATTAGAGTAAGTAATACCGCATGGCTTGAGTAAGAGCAAAATAAAAGCGTGTTATAAGTGCTATCCTTTTAAAGGTTTTTTGCTGAAGATGAGCTAAGATGAAAGACAACTGGAATGTAGGACCAGATCTTAGAGTAGCAACAAGATGCCAAATGACTCTCATTTTTGTGGGAGAAATGCCTTTGATCCAGTTTTTTGTTTTCAATTCCAGGGTTCAGGCTCCTCAACGCATGTATAACCAAATTTGAATATGACATGCTTTCATCAGTCCTCGTTATACTGTGTTTTTCTCTCAACATGAAGTAGAAATAGTTGCTAGTCTGATGGGCTATGGTTATTTGGTATTTTCCAAGTCGTGCGGTCCCCAAGAACCAATCTGTGGGTAACTTTAACCTGAGTGTCTTTTTCTCTCGGACACACAGCAAAAAAGAAGGGAAAGGCAAGTATACTGCATTTTCATCAGGATTTGGGAAGCCTTTGGCGTAAAGACTTGGCCGAGGTCAAGGGTTTTTTTACCTTATCCCTGCCTTGCTACCTGAGTTGCTGGGCAATCTTGGCCGTCTTGAAGTCAGCCCTCAGCTGAACAAACGACATGATGGTGTACTTCTCCAAGCCACTCTGTAAACAAAAACCAAAAACAGATGAAGGAAAAGAGAGAATTGTTAAGCAGTCGTTGGTTGACTTCATCTTGCCAATGTTTGTCACTGAAGAACTGAGCCTCTATCGGGTGAAATGATGTTTTCATTATCCAACAGGTAGGGTGGCTACACACGTGGGTCTGGTTCCAAACCAACCTATAGTCGTTCTTATGTTTAACTCACTTTGTGTTTCCACAGGGAACTTTCCTGAACCTTCAAATGTTCTCCCCGTGCAAAAAAAAAGGGACACATTCCTTCCATTTTCAAGAGGCAAGAAAGTCTCCATTCTTCAGTCTTGCACACATAGCAAAAAAAAAAAACAATTTGGTGGATTTTTGTATTAGTAAAGATCTGAAAGGCCAGTTTTCTTATTAGCTGCGTGAGATATGTACAACTACATTGAAAAAAATGATAAAGATTCCTGTTCCCCTCCATATGTGTCCTGCTTCAAGAAGATACCAGGGTCTTCTTTAATTGTCACCTTTCCCATAATTCCAGAAAAAATACTGCATTGTGCTTACACCAGAAAACAGGTGTTTGAGAGGAAAGCAGAAACTGATCTTTACGCACCTTTAAAGTCAGCCATATTTCTTCAGTGCACGTAAGAGTTGTAAGGTTGAAAACACACTTTAGAAGGCAATGCTGTACATTGAATTTATTCAGGTCCAACAAAAGTCATTCAGTCTCAGGTAACATTAAAATCTAACCAAATGAAGTGTAGTAAAGAAAAGCATTCCTTTGTCACGATTCATCCCTTGTTGCTTGATACCGTGATTGGACTCGTGTCTGCCCCATGGTTCGCACTTTGACAAAAATCAACAACAGAGCCCTGACAAGAAGCAGTGCGCAGAGATCTTTCCAAACACCTGCACCTACCAACTGCTCCCCGGTTATGACCGACTTGATGTTCTCGGGGACCACCACCAGGAGATTGCAGAGGGCGTGCAGCTTCTCAAACAGAGCGTTGACCGTAGGAACTTTGAAGGACTTCACCAGGCGGCGGTACTCATTCACGTCGCAGATCACCAACATGGCACCTGCGATCAACCGGAAGCAAAAACAAAACAAGTGCATGTATATGGTTGGTGTTTTTCTGATGTACAATGCCACCATAAGAATCATGCTGGCAGAAATACGGGTGCCTGGAAAATGCTCATGTGGTTTTCTCCATAAGTCACTTTCTATTACAATATTTCTTTGTGTTCAGGCCTGAACTTTGGGTGCAGAAATGTGTCCTAATCAACTTTCAATTTCTACATTAACTTTTCATTTCCAAAAGTCTTTATCACACAGTTAAGTAAGCACGCTTTAAATTAGATATGCACAACCCTTTTATGGCATGAGTTAAAAATGGTTTATGTTTCCTGTGCAAAAAAGAAGGGTGGGTAGGCCAGTAAATTTGGAGGGTTTTACAAGTTTTTAGCTGAAAATATTTGAGGCGGATGATGGCCATTTTACTTTTGTGTTTGCGTTTGGAACAAGTTTAGAAAAATAAACTGAACAAATTAAAACAAAAAACAGCAAGATGTCCAGAAAAATTAGACTCTTAAATTCACATCATAAGACTTCAATTTTTTTTTTCAATTTTAAAAATACAGATTCTAATGGTTTTCTAGATTGGGTTAGGTATAAATAGAAATGAAAGTATTTCTTTTGCCTGATGACTAATTATTGTGGAAATACCAGAAGCAATGGGCACTGTATTACTGACCTAAGGAGTTGTAGGTAAACTGCTGGAGATGGTCATAGATGACGCGGTGGAATCTGATGCCAAACTCCATCAGGACTGCCGTGATATTCTTCCCATCCAGGCAGCGCTTGATCGTCTCGACTTGCTTCTCGATGAAGGGGATAACTTTAGCACATGCCTGCACCGTTGGAATGAAAAAGGGGGCTGGTTAGTACTTTTAGTCAGTCTTGACCGGGGGGAAATGACAATGGCATCGGAAGGGTGTGCCAAACTTAGTTTACGTGAGAAGTGCAGTAAACCGGGATATGTCAAACTGGCATGGGGCAATAAACTGTGGCTGGCTATCCAGTTCATTTTTTGCTGCAATGAATGTGTTAAAACAGATTATTTTTTCATCAAAATGTGCACAACCAGGTGACATATTTACGTGAGATGGGAGTCCTCAAGTATGAAAATGGTGCTGAATTATCTGTCCATTACATCAACATTTCATAATTGTAACACTGAGGCATTCATAATGGCAACTGAGATACAATTTTTAACTTACGGGAGTATCTTGATTAATTAGAGATGAAAACCCAACCTGACAGGTGCACTCACATTGGAATACAGCTCCATGGGCCCTTCCTCCGATTCCGGTTTAAAGTCTGTCTTCTTCTGCTCCTTGTCCAACAGATACTTGATCCATCCACAGATGGTGGCCAACGTCCTGTCGTGGAGAGGAACATTATCAAGAGCTTTCAAAGGAAGACACTGTATGTACGTATAAAAACCCTCTTTGGGTCGACTGTTCTTTGACTGCTCAGAAGTTCTGGCTGCAGCAATGCCATCAAACTGGCAATATCTCCTGGTTCTTGGACACAACTGCCCTTAAGACAAAATATCCTTGACAGCCACAAATATCAAAGGGAAACAGTGGAGCTGTACAGTGCTTCAAGGATCAAAAGCTATGGCCCTCCAGTTTAAAATCGGGGAGCTGATGGTGATGGTGGTAAAATGAGGATGAAGTACGATGACCATGTGATAGAGAACACTTGAAATGGCGAATCCAGCGAACACGTATGGACTGTTTAAAACGAGGGACATCAGCGAGAAGGTACAAAGCACATAAAAAAATGGCTCAGTCTTTATATATGAACGACAGAGGCAAGAGTTTATCAACCAACCTGTCTAGACCCGTCTCAATCTTGGACTCCAACTGTTCTGTGATCTGCTTCTTTTTTTGTACACAGTCGCTATGAGCCGGCAAAGAACTGGAAAACACAAACAGCAAAGGGAAGCCAATTTAACCGATTCCTGCCTAGCGCAGGGGTTCACATTGTTTTTCATGAAGTACAAGTATCTCAGAATTATTCAACAACAATAATTTGCTGTTTGAGGAGGAAAAGGGACTTCAGGAGATATGTGTAGTCGCTTTGAAATAGATTTGAGCAGCCATGCATGCACACAAGCAGCAGTCAGCAGGCTCTAACCTCCCCTTCCAGACTGAGAAGGAATCTCGAGGCCTGGAAAAATGGACTCACTGCCGGTAATCTTAAAGAACAGGTTGAAGGAATGGGGACAGCAAAAACTCACTTCAACCTCTGACTTAATTATGTACATTTATTCCCCCAAGAGAAGCCCCATTGTCAAAGTGTGAAAATTTCAAACAAACACTCTTTTCGGTAAGATGATCCACTTCAATCACTCTGATGAAATGAAGCCAATAAAACTGCACGAATAATGAATCCTAAGTCAGTCCTTGGACTGTATGCTTGCTTTAAGCTACGATGTACCAGCAATTCAACCATTTCTGTAAAGTAATCAGAAAGATTTGATACAACCAAACAAACGTCAGAGAGCTGAATGAAGTGATCAACACTAGCCTCCCTTCAAGCAGTGCATTATGGGTAGAGCTACCAATGCCAAGAAAAAATAAAATGACTTAAAAAGCCAAAAACAGAGTTTGTATGAGGGCATTCACAGGAATGCAGAAAAGTGACTAAATTGTGGCAAACTCATCTCAATGAATCTCAAAAGTAGACTAATCTTTAGGGAACCTGCATGCACCAAATGCCCAGTGAACTACGGTAGACGACGCAAGTAATGAACCTCAGGAAATTACGACTTCACTTGCAGTGACTGTAATGCACACTCTACGCTTTGTGCAAATACAACTTGAAGAATAGAATCAAGACATTCAGACCAAAGAAAAGCAGACATCTAAAGGGGAGAATGATAACTGACTAATCAGAAGTTCAGCACACTCCATTTTGGCTTTTCCGTTTTCTCCTCCCTAAACTCTACCCCTAACTTTACAAGGGACCTATAGGTATGTGAATCGCAAACTCCATAACTGTGTAGAAAATTTGTGGCATACTTCCTTGTACTTCAACAACCAGTACAAGTAATCCACATTTTAAATTTCTAATTTAATTCTGTTATGAAATGCACGATCACAAAACTCCGTGTAGAAAACCAAAACCATTCACATGTCAGGGCCCAGTGCTGTCTAATTATTTCAAGAACGTGACCCGTTTCCTCAGTACTACGCTGAAGACAGTATTGGATTTGGAAGGTTTACTATCACTTCCATTCTGTTTCCAAAATAACCAAGAGATTTGGTTTCAGTTTTAGTACAAGTTGCCCAACATCAGGCCTTCTGAGGTGAGGGCTACTGTACGAGAAATGGAGAAGATAGAAAGAAAAAATGGAAAAGGGAAAGAACTTAAATCCAAAGGTCCTTCACATCGTGCTTGATCTGGGATGTGCTAAAAAGCCTTGGTATCAACCCATGAAACACTGTTAAGGAATTCACACTGCATGCTTGAATTTCCGTAACAGATTATAGCTACCACTATGTATTAACCCTAACCCCCTAGGGACCATTGAAATCCTGCATAACCTTGTTTGGTTCAGCATGGTTAGGGTTAATAAGCTTTTTCAGAAGTCCTTTGTCTATTGTGCTGATGGTAAGGTCACTTGATGGTCAATGTGCACCATCTGTATAATTTACCCAGAACCCAACTGAGGCATTTTTATCTTATTTTGATGAAACGCCATGGGCTTTCCATTTGAAAGGGAAAACGAAAGTGCTCTCACTTTCATGCATGATGCAGTAAAGCATGCATTTTTTATTGCTAGCTCAAATCAATTGTAATGATGTGGTTTGTCATATACATTTACTTTTATTATCATTAATGGTCGCCTCATTATGCCAGTGTGCAGTTAGTGAATAATATTTACATTTCTGTTAATTAAATTACTTTTTGAAACATATTCTACAGAGTCAACATCTTCAACGTATTTCATATCTCTTAGACTTTATATGAGTTGGTTTTTTGTTATATTTTTTAGTGTGTATTTAGTGTTACTGTTTGTTACGCACTCTCAAACAGGCTGGCCCTGGACAGGGAACAATAAAAATTCAAATTATATCATCGTTAAAAAAGCCTCAAGATGCCTCCCCACTATGTCAAACTATGTTTTGACAAAGCAACTGCTGACCCCTTCAATTTTAAGCCTTGGCCCCACCCACTATTTATCAACTAAATCTCAAGAGAGTATTTTGGGCCCAAACCACGGGGATAAGTTCCGCAGTTGGATCTCATCACTGAAGTACCAAGGGAACCACGGCTGTGATAATAATTGTATGAGATGGCTACAATGTGAAAGCATCCTGAAATTCAAATCTACGGTACACAAGAAAAATGTCATGACGAGATTTCACACAAAATGGTTTGACGAGAGTTGTTCATGTTCAGGCAGAATTAAAACTACAAGTGCAGAGATTAACAGTTACTAATAAATACAGGTACCTGCTACTTTCCGACACTGCCAGTCACAAAGAATACTCTTTGGAGGTGGGACATTACAAAGATTGCTTGTTGATATATTGACACAATAGTGGAATGCATGGTGTCTTTGAATTGTATATCACATGTGCTAAGCTATGACATACAACAGTGCTTTGTGCTTTTGTTACTTTACCAAAGAGAATACGACAAAAACAGAGCTGACCCCTGCAAGCTTGGCAGCCCAGTGGTTAAGACATCTGCAACCAGTAAGTAGGAGGTCGTGGGTTCGAGTAAGCTTGTGAATTTTTTTTCACGAGCTCTCGGACAAGCACTGAGTGTGCAGTATTAATTACCACACGACGGTGTAAAAAGAGAAGTGCTTTGAATAATGAAAAATATTTGAGTGCTTTCTTTTTTCAGTTTTGCAGTGTTGGACATGGGTGTGCTTACATACATGTACAAAAGTACGTTTTTTAAAACCCACTTTCCTCTGTCTGCGTGTAGGTCTAATTCATGTAAGGATTTCTCTTTTGGGGGTGATCTTGACTTGTTTGACTTTACAAGAAGCTAATTTCTTTCTCTCTTCTGACAGACCACTGTTGGCATATGATTCAGCTTGCTTTGACTGGCATGCAGCGACTTTCTGTGGAAACCAACAACATCTTAAAAAAAACCAACAAAGAAATCAATTTTAATATTGCAGCAAATGAGTTTCAAATGCAAAAGCTTTGGTTTTCTTGGGTTTTTTTCTATGCATCTCATGTTTGCGGCAAACGGTAGTTGTGCTGTTTCATTAGAAAAATGATTATCTGGTGCAGAGCCAATCCACTGTGCTCAACTGATGGTTAGAAGGGAAGGGGTTGCATACCAAGATTATAAAGGCAGGGGTGGGGTGGTGTTGAAACTACATGCAAAACTGTATTCTACTTTGGAAGGGTTCTAAGCTAAGCGTCAAAGCATCCACGCAAGTGGAACACACATCCCCACCTTACTAAGCACATTGCCACCGACTCTGGGGTGTCGCCTCTGGAAACATTGCAACATTCAAATAAGGTGCAAAAAAAAATGTCACTGTGAATCATCAACTTCGAGTATTAGATATATTAGGTGGTTTCAGGGCATATTTCATTCAATTTTACAGGAAATTGATAAAAGAATCAGATTTTTTGTAAGCCAAGGGGTACTGATCTAAGGAAGGTGGGGTATGAAGGCACTTTCCTCCGCGGAAGGGAAAGGTGGGGAAATGGGGGTGTAAAGCAGATAACCAAACAAAATGAGGATAGTTTGCCTACAATCACATCCACCGTTTCATGACCCTCTGGCATGTTATTCTTAGCAACAAGACATCTCATTAGATCCTACTGCTACTATTATTATTATAATGAGTACTTTCTGACTATGTTACGGGTCCTGAACAGGACCTCAAAGTCCTTCTACAATCACTCCCTGGATAAAATGATAAAAGACTGAAAATAAAATACGAAACACTGTGCATATACTGAAAGCTAAAACAAATATTTATGCAAAACAAGAAGCAATATGCAGCAGCGAAGTTTCTCAAAGGTCACACAGTGGTTGGGCACTTTGTTTATGCATGATTTGAGCTCATGCAGGACCCCCAAACAATTTCATTATAACTTTTTTGGGCCCAATATCACTGCCACACAATTATCCTCTTTTTATGGCAAGTCTGAATGAGTTTTTTTACTCGACTAATAATAAATTGTGCATGTTTTGGCACCAATTTCATGATGATCGGATCAACAGTTTCTACCACTTGCCCAATGTGTGAATGCACGGGATCCTATGTGAAAACATGTATGTGAAGCTGTCTTCACATGCATATGGTGAGATTTATCACTTCCAGGTTGATGCATGGAGGTGGGCCGGACAGCATTCCAGAATCATCTCTACCCCTTGGCTCAGGGTTAAAAAAAAAACACCTGCTCTGTGCAAAGTGACACTGTGTCTACACATGCAATCACAGCTCACCACCAGGGAAATTTCAATAGACCTCAATCCCAGGGAAGCCCTTTTTGATTGTGTTCCCAGCGTCTATCTTATTCAATGTAATCTGTTAAATGGGTTGGTGCCAGACCATTTTTGTGTTCCATGCCTCACTTTCATGTTTTTTCAAAAACTGCTTATAACATTTAGATATAATTCATCACAAACTTTAAATTTTTCGTCAGCATAAATGACATTAACCCTAA